CAGATGAGGTAATATATGTAAAGTGCTTTGCAAACCTTAAAGTGGCATGTAAATGATAACTACTATTATTATGAAAAGGACAGTGAGTGAAGACTTCAAGAAAAAAATTTTGAGAGTAAAATCAGGGACCTAAACTTTAAAGGCATGGGGGATTTAGAATCTAAGAACCTGGCTTTCAATCTCATCTCTTCCACAAATCCAAACTCTGGCAGTCACTACCTGTGTAACCTTCGAGTGACCTTGCTTGGCTTTGAACAAGTCATGTGCCTTGCCAGTTGATCTCTAAATTCCATGACTGCAAAATTAACAAACTAATCTATATGAAGATATTGTGTCCGGAACACTGTCATCACACTAGTCGAGCACCAGTTAAAAACCAGTGGTTTTGCTTTGCACCAGTGACAAATTCTGAAGAGTCCTCTGGGTGAGGACTGTGTGCTGTTCATAAAACCTACATTATGTGACCTCAGTAAAACTTCCTATAATGGTTTGCTGGCTACTCTTTGCTTATTTTCACAAGATAGTGATTCATAAATGACTTTCTTAATAATAATAATAGCTAGCACTGACACAGCACTTTAAGGACTGAACAGAGAGTTCATTGGATATTATTTCCCTAGGACTTATGATTCCCACCTACTTCAGGAGGAAAAAAGCTTTACTGAGTGTCAGAAATGTGTCTTAAAAAATGGTACTTATAAAACAGAGTTCAGATATAATTACTGACATGGGCTGGCTTGATAGAAGTCAATTAAAATTAAAATGGTAATGTTGCATGTTTCTTGCATCCTGGACTGTTTAAAAAATAATAATAAAACAACAACAAACCTAGTTCTCCCTTGCAGTACACAGTTTTTACTCTGAGAATTTGGGACATCTGACTAATGGATTAGAACAGTGATCCAAAAGAACTTAGGCCAAATTTTATTACCATTGGTGGAAATGACCACAGGGCTGAGGTAGCTGTGATATCCAGATGTGCCACTTCTTTTCTGTCCACAGTAACAACAGTGGCCTCTTGAAAAAAAATCCATGGCACTTTTTCAATGCTCCAAATGTTAAATAAAGATGGGCCTCCAGAGAAAACAGAATAACATCTAAACTTATATATCTATATAACTATGCATACACGTATATATGTTTGCCATCAGATCCAGCATTATTTATGTAATATTTAGAAAACATCAGTTTTGCCTTTTTCAAAAATATTTACTCCTATTATCATGCTGTGGCCAGTAGTTAATGGAAGGCCTTAAAATAGAACATGGAAGATGTTCATCAGAAAAATTCAAGCCTAAATCAGGACCTGTAGACTTGAATTGAAGAATTAATTTTAAGCAAATGCATAAAAAGAAAAATATTCAAACAATTATGATTAAAACAAGAAAAGAGGAAATATGGGTAGTAGATAGAGAGCTGGCCTTGGAGTCAGGAAGATGTGGGTTCAAGTTCAGCATTAGTAAATGAAATTCCTCCCTGGATGCTTCCCATAGTGATAAAATCACAGATCTAGTTTAACAAAAAAAGGCAAAAAAACACGCCAAATTAAAATCTCAATCTTTGGGCTGAAATTTTAATTTTAGCTGGTCTTTGAACTTTTAAAGAAAAATCTAAAGCTTGTGTCAATTTTTTCCATTAGCTTCTTTCAAAAGAAAGTTGTGATGACTTAGTGGTCTTAAATATTCTGCATATCTATGGTGGAAGTTAAATGAAGACAAAGATGCCAAAATCCAAATGGAACGAAATGAACAATATAGATCAGTTTCCAAATATTAATAAACACTGTAGGTAAGGCCTGGAGAAGAAAGTACTGCTTACTGATGCTTCCAAAGAGTGGCAAGCAAGTATAGACAGACATACTTTTCCATTCCTTACTTGAGACTTGACTACTATGGCACAATTAATTCAGTATAATTTAGGTTGAGAATGGAAATATCCAACTGCATACACACTCCTCAGCATCACCTAATATATAAGGAAAACAAGAGCTGTGCAGGTTCTAACTAACATCTGACAAGCTCACTATATGAGGTCTTTTATGCAGCAAAAATTTAAGAATTATAAACAGTAGCTGTCTGCAGTAGAGGCTATTAAACAAGAACTACAGAAACTTGGGAAAAGGGAAGAAGCTGAATGCAGTGAGTGATTGAAAAACAGAAAATTGAAGAGTGTGGGGATGGTAAACAGAAAGTGGCCTTTGAGATTGTAAAAAGTGGGAGCATACTAGAAACAAAAATTAAATTGGATGGAGACAGCTTTCCAAGGGGATGGGGTGGGAAATGCCAAATTTAACTTAGTCCCAGGGGCCACAGAATAAATATTCACTAAAGGAAGAGTTTATCCCTATTACTGGCCTAGGCCAAAAATGCAAGGCTGAAATAAAACTGAAGAAAAAGGGAATAGAAGGAAAATACAGTTTACCTTTCTCCATTCCTAGAACATGCTGTTTACTTTTTACTTTCTTTAAGAAAAAAAAATCATTTTTGGCAAAAGGCAAAGAATTGCATTGTGTCATTTCCCAACATAATATTCAAAAAATTCAGCCACCTGGCAAACGTTATGAAGAAGGATCACTGTACCCATAAGCCATCCAAGAAACAGCTACCCAATGGGCACATTCCATTTTGCAAAGATAACATACAATCCTGCTGCTTGGGTGTGGTTCTATGGGGAGGTGCAGAGGCTTGGATTCAAAATGTTGTCTCCAACATCATGTCTTAGGATGATGACATTTGAACCATGAAACATTAGGAAAAGGGTGTCTCTTTAAGATCTATCGTTTAAAAGTCCTGAGTCCTCAGTTTCCACATAGAGACCTCAGGTAACTGACCATCAGGGGCCATGCTCACAGTTCTATTTAGGCTTTTCAACTTTTCTCTTACATCCACACTGGAAAAAAAAAAACAACACAGCACTTGAAAGTACCCATCTCACAATGAGGGAAAAACACAGAGGCTTTTTTTTTTTAAAGCTGAGTCCTCAAGAAGAGTAACTTCAGCAGCCATAATCAATTCTTCTGTAAATAACACAGACCCGTGCCAAGCCAGAGCCAAAAATCCCCTTTAGAATTCAGTTGTGGTTAGGTCATCTGCACTCTATTGACAAGTGCTGAACTCTAAAGTATAATGAGGTAGCTCAGCAACAGAATGTGTCCCGCCACTAATGAGGCTCTTTTTCCATGAATAACGAGCACGGACATCATCTCTGTTGCCAGGTACACAATATAAACAAAACTGAATACAAGGCACTTGGTATGGAGAGTTGTCCACTTACAACAACAGAAGTTGTTCAAAATATGAGCCAAAGTTTTAGCAGAGGGTGGGACCAGCTGTTTTAAGAAATAATTTGAACATATGTTATCAGAATCCAATAAATCAACTTTGGTTATAGCTGAATGAAGGCTGTGGAGTGGGACAGAGAGAAAAAGGAGATAGAAAGCTATGAATGAGTTCATTTCTTTATATTACAATCAATCTTACCACACATAAAGCTGATGAGTTTTGTAATGAGCTGAGACTCTAAAGAGCCTTTTGAGACTTGTGAATCCCAAGGGCCATACGGGTTAAATTGTTATTTCTTAAACCTTGACATGTAATGTAAATACTGTGTTGTATGTGGAATACATATACTATGTTGGAACTTTTCTCTAATGCTGGTCACAAGACGGAATTCAGCCAAAAGAAGTCTCTTCATTTGGGGGTAGAGGGGTAGATGAGGATGGTTAATTATTTATCTGAGGTCTAAAGGACCTGAAAATAAGGTGTGTTTTATCTTTAAGACAATCCTATGAGGACAGAGACCCAGAGTACGGCATTATAAAAAGATGCCAAAGTATAAATTATCTTTATTATTTAATCCCAGGTGAAAGCCAAATATTTGGATGTTTTGCTTTAAAGTGCACAATTAGTGTTTATTTTTCTTTTTGAAATCAATTATGTGCTATATAGTCTATATATTATTACATGGGATACTTAGGTATAATGAGGCAGAATGAGCACACAGTGTGGTATTATAAGTTTCTGTCTTTGCTTTTCCAATTCATTTTGGGGTTTACTTTAAAAACCAGTGACAAACACCAACCCTGCTGTACCTTTGTTTCCCAATCTTAAAAGCAGAATGTAACAAGACCTATTTAATTCAAAAGAACCTTGAGAAATGATAGAACAACAGCTTCTATAGAATAACTACAAATAATACTAGCAAATCTCAAAAATTAGAGAATAAAAGACGAGCTGTTTGGGCAAGGAGGCACAAGATGAGAGGCACAGAAAGAGTTGGTCCAGATCTATAATTTCACTAGAATTAATTCCTACTATGGAAGCTCAACCAATGCCAACTGGAAATTGTCACTTACAATCTTGGAGGACTGCTGGGGCATGAAGAAGTTAGGCTGCTTACTTATGGTCACATATCTGAAATGGGTCAGAAGCAAGAGCCAAACCCAGATTTTTCTGACTCCAACACCAATCAAATACCTCATTCTGGCTCTCATCATAATATAATAATCGATGTGTTCCACGGAAACCCAGAAGTTAGAGAAAACGTAGAGTTAACATTTTGTAAAGCAAGTAATTATGTTATAATGCAGATAATCACTCCCCTAATTAATCTGTTTGACAAGCACTGATAATGCGCTTTATTATTTTGGTCCACACCTAGTTCCAGTTTTTGATTTGGTAGTTTTCTTTAAGGCAAAATGCTACAGAAAAGCTACTAACCAAGTTCTCTGGATTGATAATCTTGGTCCAAACTAATCAAATCACGAAAAATAAAAAGGAATGTCAGACTCACCGGGAAAAAATGCTGGCAGGGTAATTTTTACTGTACTATAACTTTCCATTTCATTATTCTGGTTTGTCAAGAAATAAAACATCATGAAAACTGCTCAAGTCACTTTATAGAAGTATGAATGTCTATACATTTTGGCTCAGGCTTGGAGTGATTTTATCAACTTAAGAGTTGAAATATATACCAAACACAAAAAATCCTCAAGGACTTACCATCATATTTTGCTAAGACTGCTTGAACATCAGCATATGCTTGCAGTTCCAGCAAAGCTTCTAAAAGGTTTTCATGTATGTTGAACATGCTCAGGAGAGGAAATTCCTTCATTAGCTAAGAGAAAGGGGGGAAAAAGACTAATTAATATTGAATTTCAGGCAATCATTTCATTTTTCCCCTTTTGTAGAAAAATTTCATCTTTGAATTTGCAAAGCCATATATGAGAAGGTGAGGAATATTTAGAAAATAAACATTTTCCATCATCATCATCATCATCATCATCATCAAAATAAATATATATTTGTATAGATCTTCAAAGTTTGCAAAGCTCTCTCTCTATAACTTTGTCAAGTAGACAGTAGAAGTATTATTAACAGTCACATTTTACAGACAAGGAAACTGGGGTTCTGAATAGGTAAGTGACTTGACCATGATCACACTACTGGAAAACATTAGTGCTAGTATCAGGTATGTGTCTCCCAGTGCCTAGCACATCACTCTATCCGCTTCACCATACCACAAAGCTGTCTTCCTAATAAGGATGAAATGATTTTGTATGAGAACGTAATCCCACTGTGCTCTTTATAAGAGCCTTCTCTTTTGATGGTAATAGTAATAATGATTATTTTACATTAATTTTTTTTTAATTTTGGGTTCCAAACTCTCTCCCTCTCACCAGACCTTCATCCAACTCACTGAGAAGGAAGCAATATGATGCATGTGAAGCCACGCAAAACATATTTCCATATTAGCCATATTGAAAAACAAGAAAATAAAAAATCTGAAAAAAGTATGCTTCAATCTGCATTCAGAGTTTATCAGTTTTCCCTCTGAAGGTGGATAGTATTTTTCATCATGCAACCTTTAGAACTATCTTAGATCATTGTTTTTATAAGTGCAGCTAAGTCTTCCACAGTTGATCACTGCTACATTATTGCTGTTACTATGTACAATGTTCTCCTCATTCTGCTTACTTCACTTTGCATCAGTTCATGTGAGTCTTCCTAGGTTTTTCTGAAACTATCCCCCTTGTAATTTCTCACAGCACAATAGTATTTCATTACATTCATATACCGCAACTTGTTCACCCATCCCCCAATTGATGGGCATCCCCTTGATTTCCAATTCTTTGCCACTGCTAAAAGAGCTGCTATAAATATTTTTGTACAAATTGATCCTTTTCCCTTTTCTTTGATCTCTCTGGGATTCAGACCAAGTAGTGGTATTGCTGGAACAAAGGGTATGCAGAGTTTTAAAACCCTTTGGCCAAAGTTCCAAATTATTCTCCAGAATGTTTGAACTGGTTCACAACTCCACTAACAGTGCATTAGTGTTTCTATTTTGCCCCCTTATGAGGGCGTTTTAAGAAAGGTTTTCTCATTCTCCTTGGGGATTCAGGACATGCTATAATAGTAGGCAAAGAGGAACAACTATGGCACAGCAAGAACTGGAAAACATAGAAATTTTGCTTTAAAGGCTGAAAATACCCATTTCACCACTATCAACCCCTGTCTCTCTTCTCCCTTTTCCTCTCTTGGGCTTTGCTCCTTTTAAAACCTTCATCTCTTTAGAAAATGCCAAATTAATTTATCCAAAGTATTGTTCTGTTCTTACCATTTCCCTACTCAAAAATCTTGAGAGGCATCCCACTGTTCCCCACCCTGCCCCCAAACCCAAATACAGTTCATCTTCCTTATTCCACCTCTAAGGTCTTCTAATAGCTACTCCATTTATATAATGATACATCTCCCAAGACACCACAGAATTGGCAGATGTGGCTGCTGAACTGCTACTGTCATTCTCTGAAGAGCCTTGTAGAATGTAATAGGTGCCATGGGACTGGAGCAAGCAAATTTTGAAAAGAGGGAAATGGGTTGATTCTGAAAACGAGAGGCCAAGGATCTTAATATGGATCTTGTACAAAATTCTAGAACAATATGTCTGCACCAAGAAAGGGAAGCTTGATCACTGAAAGGCAGCATAAATTCATCCAAGACGGGTCACGTTAGGCTAACCTCACTTCCTTTTTTCTATAATATAAACAGATTTGTTCTACCTGGCCCTGGAAGGCAAGAACCAGAAATGAAAGGAAGTTGCAGAGAAGTAGATTTTGGCTGGATGTAAAGGTAAAAGCTCCTAACAAGTCAAGCTGTCTGAAACAGACTACCTCAGGCAGTAGGGGGTTCTCTCTTCACTAGAAGCCTTTAAGGAGAGGCTAGATAACTGCTTGGTCAGGTATGGCCTGGACAGGATGCTTGTAAAGGCCTATTTATCTCTGAGACTCTGTGATGATGCGACTTCAGCCTGCCCCTCAAGCTTACATCTACAACTACTTGTCTATAGTCTATATAGTCTACAGTCTATTCCAGCCAAACTGGCTACTCCCTCTTCTCCTAAATGACTTACTTGACTGCCTTTGCAGTTCTGACCACATGGCTCCTCTGGGATACTCCTCTCCCATACTTTCTCCCCATTCCCACTCGGTATTGTGTCTTGCTGAAATTCTTGTTTCTTTCAAGGCCTATCTCAAATGTCACTTCATCCATTATTCCATCCCTATTTTGCCCCAGTGTGATGTTTCCGTTTCATCTGCCAGAAGGGCCACAGAACTCTGTAACTCTCTTCTAGTATCTGCCATATTTTGCCTGGTATGACAGTTGTTTATGTATCTCTCTTAGATACTCTAATTCAGAAAGCTTCTGGACTTATGTTTTCTCATTAGAGTAAAGGGAGTTGGACAAAAGGACTGTTATATCTCTTTTATCTCTACAATCATGTGATTCCGCAAGTTGAAATTGGTTTTTTCCTACTTTTTGTTCTTACTGGAGTAAAAAGAAGACCGGTGAGCTGCTAATATTTTAATGTTTAAAGGATTCCAAAATTTACAAAGACCAACTTCAGAAACCTTCTTAGAAAGGCTCTGGGAGAACACAGTATCACCAAATCACCCCACTTATCAAATTTCACAAAATGCTACTTGCTAACTGAAGGACCTTTGGAAAGTCCCTTCCCTCTCTAAACCACATCTACATCTTTAAAATGAGAGGCTAAACAAGATAACTTCTAAGGTCTTTTCCTGCCATAAATCCTGTGATACCATGATCCTTGTTCTTTCTTCCTTTATTCTCTTTTTTTAAATTTTTTTTAAATTTTATTTTTTTTTTTAGCTAGGCAATGGGGTTAAGTGACTTGCCCAGGGTCACACAGCTAGTAAGTGTTATGTGTCTGAGGCTGGATTTGAAGTCAGGTCCTCCTGAATCCAGGGCTGGTGCTCTATCTACTGCGCCACCTAGCTGCCCCTCCTTCATTCTTTAAACTTGGTCATAATAACTCAACAAGGCTGATGTTTCACCTTCCTCCCTCAATCTCCTGTAGAGAGATCTTATCACCTTTAGTTCAATTTTCTAAATTATTATTCTACTAATGAAAATAGTATGTATTCCAACCAGAAGGCCATGGAGCTATCCTTTGAAGATAACATGTCTAAAGCATCTTTCCTTGGAGAAATGAAGGCTTGAAAAAAAGTCTAATTCACCAACAAGAACTTAGCAAGAATTCACTGAGAGCAATGGTCTGTGCTGTGTACTCAACCAATACCTTCATCTTACATGTTTGCAATTTCTTTTAAAGAAAAAAAATATATAGTAAAATCCGACAAAATAAATAAAGTTGTGGAGTTCCAGAGAGCATTGTGTTACAAATCAGCCTACCAAGAGGAGTATGATTTCCATGAGAGTGATCGCCTTGCTCTCCCAAGAGATCTGCAGTAATTTCTTTGTTAGAAAGGAAACTGAAAGACTATGCCACAAATTACTGATGTTCTGCAACCAATAAAACACTTTGTATTCTGGTTCACTTTGATCACGCTGATATCACTCTTTGATTTTTCCCCTAATTAGGCATTTTTTTTTGAGATAAAGCTCTGTATCACCTGACAACAGTCAAACCATGTTCAAAACCGCCATAATTAAAACTTGAAAATTTTGGATCGAGTGTCCAGGTAAAAGTCTAATCTTAAGAAACCCAAACTTATACTGTAATTTCAAACAAAACTATCACTGCAAATGGAAAAAAGAACTGAAGTTTTAAACTTTACAATTAACTCACATGACAAACCAGGCAGATAGGTATCAAAGGGGTAGGGGACATGTGTGTGTATGTGTGTGTATGTGTGTGTATGTGTGTATACATATATATATATATATATATATATATATATATATATATATATATATATATATACACACACATTTATATATGCACATACACATACTTGTCCCCTACCCCCATGATATATGTGTGTATATGTATATATGTGTGTGTGTGTACATGCTTGTGTATGTGTGCAAATACATATATATGTGTGTGTTATATCTATATGTATATCTATCTGTATCTATACCTATATCTATATATCTCCTATAGGAATAAGATGCTAGAACCATAGGAACTAGGTCCAAAAGGAAACCTAAGGAACAGTATGGTGTAGAAAACAGAATGTTGGATTTGGAGTCAGGAGAACGTACCTGACTTTGCTGAGGCCACAAAGAGAGTAAAATCAGCACAAATAAAATACCCATTTCCTCTGACTCTAGATCCAGTTCTCTTCTCACTAAACCATGCAGCTTATAGTCTATGCTTACATGGGAAATACCAAGTCCCAAAAGGATCCAAGGAGGTCCAATTAAATTATATCAAAGGAGCAAATGTTTTAAAGGTAATTATGCCAGTCATGTGAAAATTTAGTGTTTCTTGTTTAACTTTGGCCATGTTTCACTATTAAAGCTTTTTAGGATCAAAAAAAAAAACCCAACAAACAAACCCAACAACCCTATAGAGGTCTACAAATAAAATGAGCTGCTGATGGAGACCTCACCCTTAATAAAAAGCTTATGCTATAACTACCACTAAGAGCTGGTGGGAAAGTCCATGGGGCCACTGTAACTTAGCTGGCTCTAAATCCCCTCTGAAAAATTAAGAGTAAAAGATCAGTTCTGAATGAAAGGACATCCTTTTCTTAGACTAGGCCACTATTTCCAGAGTGTCAGCAGGGTCCAGTTAGATATTTTATAGATAGTAAAAAAGCCATAAAGGGTGATCCTCTATGGATGATA